CNTTTAAAAAAAAAGATCAATGCGTGCTTACCGCCGAAGGCTGTGACAGTGTAGGGGAAAGTCCAACCGTTACAGTGGAACAGTGGCAGAGTCCACAAGTACTTCGTATTGTGATCCAATCCACTAACCATGCCGTTACCAACAGCGGCCAAGTAGGTACCTGTGTAAACGGATATACGTAAGTTTCACTACTGCTACATAATATACACTAATTTGGGGCTGACAGCTCTGCGTGTTACTTCTGCTTGATACCGTTTACTAATGTGTGATAAAAGTTAAAAGTTAAAGCTTATATTTTTGTTTGGAAATGTACACTCATGTGGCTTGATAATGTACATTGAAACGTGTTAACAGTTCAACTGTCCAATTGAGCTTGAAATTGCATTCTAACGCGTGTTCAAAAGTGCAACGTTTTCCTAATTCATGACATTTTACATTAATGTGTATTGTGATGGCCTCATAACAATACACAGCTTCTTCCTATTCCTTCGTGTCTACGCCAAAGCAGTTTCAAGTAGGATACATGTATAACGTTTTAATAAAATTGATTTTAATATCTCGATATAATATAGTCTCCTGCATTGGTAGTGTAGTACGCGCATAACGTTATATGCCACCACTTAATATTATAACATATATATTATCGAAGTATGTCTCAGATTAGTTTTAATATCTCGATATAATATAATCTCCTATATTGGTAGTATAGTACGCGCAAAACTTTATATGCCACCACTTAATATTGTAACATATATACTATAACATATATTATAACATATACGCGCACAACTTTATGCCACCACTTAATATTATAACATATATATTGTCAAAGTATATCTCTGTGCAGTCTAATAAGTGTATCACGTTGTACTAAGATTGATTTTATAATACAATCTCAAACATTGGTAGTATAGTACGCGTAACTTTATTCCACCACTTAATATTATAACATATATATTATAACTTAATACATATATATTATAACTTAATACATATATTAATATATTATCGAAGTATGTCTCAAATTGATTTTTATATCTCGATATAATATAATCTCCTACATTGGTAGTATAGTACGCGCAAAACATTATGCCACCACTTAATATTATAACATATATATTATAACTTAATATAAATATTATAATATTTAAGTCATAATATATATTATAACTTAATAATATAACATATATGTTTTAACTTAATATATACATTATAATATTTAAGTTATTATATATATTAAAACTTATTATAATAACATATATGTTATCGAAGCATATCTCTGTGCAGTGTAATAAGTGTATAACGTTTATTACATATCGTGGTAATTAACGACAGTCCATCCAGACTAAGCGCGTGTGCAAGGTGGTAAAAGTACTACGGCATGCTGCTGTTAAATATTATAAAACCCTGAACCCTAAAATGTTGTACGTTACACTGCTGGTAGTTGTGTATAAAGCTATTTCATGTATGTTCGTGTGTATCGCGTTGAACGTTTAACAGTATACCTATACTGGACACATCACCACCTATATTCAACTATAGTCAAGGCACATTCTCGTATGTCTGGCAGATATATATTGATACGAGTGCGTCAATATACCGTATAACAAAAGTATTACGTTAACTACTGGTTGATATATCAGAAGCTATACATTACAATGATTAAACACATACATAGATAGATATAAATATATACGCACACGTATATATATATATATATATATATCAATACATACGTACACACACAG